ATTTTAATACTCATCTCTCTCTTTGCCACTCAAGGTCCAAGAGCCACCGTCTCTGTCCAGGGTCCTCCATGCAGGGTGTCAGGAGCATGGGGGAGCCTCGGTAGCAGCCACTGGGACTCAACAGCAGCTCGATGCTGGGCACTGTGAACACTGCAATTCCTGCCCTGGCTCCTCTGAAGAGCCACAGGGATGGAACAGAGCGATTCTGCACAGCACAGGGCTCACCCTGACCTCCCTATGCCCACTGTACAGGGAGAGGCATTTCCAAGAAGGGAGTCTCCAGCCTCCGTGCAAGCTCTCCCTGCTGCATGGGCAGTACATCTCCTGTCCTTCCAGGAACATCACACACACGAAATTCTACAGACCCTCTGAACTTTTGAAAAAAATTGCTGCTGTTTCTAGGTAGAAGCAGCCTGCCCAGCAGATGCGCAGGACTTCTCAGAGCTCGCACAGATACCATCATCACAGGAGCCCCAGCTCGAGAGCAGATCTAGAGCATGAAACTCTCCTGCTCCTCTTGCACTGCTGCCGGTTTAAGAGAGGGCCCCGTGACCCGCAGCGACATGGTGCAAACGAAGTGTGACTTCCCAGGGCGCACTCTGCGGTTGCTTGTACCTTGTTCACAGAGGCCGCGATGCTTCAGCTCGTCTCACGTTTACCGCAGGGGCTGGGCACGCGGCCAGGGGAGCCCCGAAGGGCAGCGACGCTGCAGGGAGCCCCACACGGCACCAGCTCACATGGGTTGGACTGTGGCACTGAGGCCTCGGGACGGCTCCTTGGCAAGCTTGGGCTCTCAGCATGGAGCTCCAAAGGCCTCAGGAAGGGCCACATCACCTTCCTTCTGCTCTGCTGGGTGACGGCACAGGAACAACCGAAGCACCCTGTGGATCAAGACTTTGCCACTGAACCACCCAAGTTCATAGCTTCTCTTGCCTGGTGACGAATCTCCACCTACTTCCTTGCCACGCCGGCCATGCCGTGAAGCCACAGCGGGGTCCTCAGGCACAAGGGCATCGGACACGTTTTATTGGAGTGATGAGGCCCTGGGGGAACTATAGAAAAAACCTTGGTTTGTTTTAACACTCCAGTTTAGGAGAGGATAGAGCCAAAATCCTTAAATGAAGCAGGTAACATCTATCCATGACTAGTTCCTCCAGAGTCAAGTCACACTAGAGGAGCAAGCTCCATCCAGAAAGCACTGCTCCAAGCTCCATCTCCTGCATGACAAATCAAGACAGAACTACGTGCCTCCCAAGGAGGTGCCACTGATGGGCCCACGTTCAGGGGGCAGGTCCTTAGTTCATATTCTCAGCATGTCCCCATGTCCCTTTGGGCCCCCCTGTATTGCCTGTGTCAGCTGAAGAAAGTCAGTTTGCAAACATGCCTGTCGGGGTTTGCACGTTTCCCTCAATTATTCAGGGTATAATTGAGGTGCTCAAGAAAGCATCATCACCTTGCTGAGCCACAAGCAAACCTCCCCACAAAAATATTGAGTGTCGTCAGCCTTATGACCATAACTGGGGGGGGCTGTGCAGGAAATGGCTACATGAGAGAAAGGAAAATTAACCCAAAGCAGTTCCCAGTCTCGGCCTCACGCTCCCTACTCCATTAGGAGCCCAGATGGATGAACCTTCTCACCCAGACTTGCAGGCACCAGGTGGAGAGATGACCCACTGAGGAGGAAAACACAGCTCACATTAGACTAGCAACTGGCAGCTTCTTGATGGCTTATGGAAAGATTGGGCATTTTTTGCCTCGATTATTGCTATGCCTAGAGGTGAAAAAGATTTGAGTCACTGACAAGCAGATCTGGAAAGCAGGACATTGGCTTTCCCTTCCCGTCTGTGTCTGGTCACTCACGTGGTGTTGCGTCAGTCAGTCAACTAGTCTCAATTTCATCTCCAGTAAAATGGGACATCTCCATATTAGGTCTGCTAATGCTGGTCAGCTAACGGTCCAGAGATGGAAACAGCCAAATATATTCAAGGTATTTAGAAAAACATCACCATGCCAGTTCTAAGCTTAAGGGTATTATTATTTCAGGGTGTGTAAAAGCAAGGCTGCAGGACTAGCAGAGCTACAGACGAACCCAGAAACGGATGGCACAAACCTCAGTGAAACACACCCAAAGCGCAAGAATTGCTCCATGAAGCAGAAAAATTCCCACCTTCTCAGTTCAAATGGCAGATGCAGCCTGTGGGGAGCTACACGTTGTGCTGGATTTACCCCTTACTTCTTCTTGCATTGAGAGATTCTGTAGTGGAAACCTGCTGGAAACGTTGCAAGCCAAGGGCTTCTCCAGGACAGGACCTAGGGCATGCAGAGCCTGTATCTTCCCACACCGGGTCTTCAAGGTAGCGCAATGGGCTCCGTTAGCATGTGCACACTCTGGTGAAAAATAAGGAACGATTCTCAGTATATTTAGCTCATCTCCTTGCAGATCTCAGCCCTCCCCAGAGCTTCACTCGCTTCCCACACTTAATTGAATTGCTAAAGAGCACTAGTGCCCTCGCAGAGTCCCTGGCCAGCAAATTCGCCATCATCCTTGAAGAACCAAGCAGAAGCACTGGAGGTAATCACGACCGACTGCCACAGCAGGTCTCGTGCTTTCACACACTGCTCCTCACATCTGCTCCTGAAGCACTCGCTGCTGTTAGCCAGGTTCCTGGCTGCAAGGGTGTCTGCATGCAATGCAACAAATCGCAATGGCAGACAGGATTTGATGCAGGAAGGCGGGTTTTCCTCGATTCCCTCTCCCACCACATATATATTAGCAGAATGCGCAGCCTTGGTGGAGGTCATCAGCATCTTAGAGAAGGGGCCTCTTGGGTTTTTTTTTTTCTTTTCTTTTTCTTTAGTTTTGCAAGCAAGAACATCAATGGAACTGAAAGTAGGTTCACACCACAGTGCCCACCCATGCAAAACTATGATGAACCACAAAACCAGGCAATTACACAATCTTCTTCTACTGCTAACCAGGCTCCGCTTCCCAGCATCAGCTGCTGCTCAAAATGCACTCAGAGGCTTTTGGGGGTAGAAATGACCTCTTGGCCTGCTTTTGCCAGAAAAAGCCTCTGAGCTTATCCTGAAGGGTAGGAAAACAGAATTCAGGACTCTAATGCTGAGATCTAGTCTCCAAAGAATCCTGCAAGCTCTGGGAGTTAAGCCAAGCAGCTCCCAAATCTCCTTCTCCCTCATCCCTGAGTTAAGAGGGAAGATGTGAAGCACGTTCTGCATGACCAGGACACACAGCGTCACATAGGACAGGTGGAGAAAGAGCTGGAGGTCACAGGTGCCTCCAAGGAGCAAAACAGAAAAGCCGTATGTAATGCAATGTAAACAGTTTAACTCACGTTTAAAGTGCCATGTTTGAGATTCCTTTTGTGGAAAAAAAAAAGGTACTAAAAAAGAAAACATGATTATTCTTTCAAAAATGACTGCATAATAATAGTTTCTTAATAGGACGTTGCCAGGTTTGAAGTCAGGCTGCCTCTCGCTTTCTGCGGAGAGCCTCGGCTGCAGCCCTGCTCACAAGTCCCCCATCCTTTGCCGAAGAGATGGAGCTCTCTGAACCTGCTCCCTGGGCTGCTCTACCCTCCTATTTGAGGGGCGACAGGGTTGATTACAGCTTTGGGGTAAATCAGGTCCTCCAGGTAGTTTATTGTGAGGGAGCTTGAGAACATACTGGGATGAGGAGAGCAATGTGTTGGCAGCCCAAGTGAGATGTAGCCTGCTGCGGAACAAAGTAATTTTTACGGACTGTGAATAAAGAAAAATAATTTGGGTGTGTGCATGGGTCAGGAAAAAAGATTTTTACTATTTCTTTTGTAGAGTTTACTGGCCTAATGCAACTGACTGGAAGTTTAGGTAGAAAATAAGCACTGATGTTCAATGCAGGAACAGATCTTATTTTGGTGGAGAGGTAGATCAGACTTTTTCACCCTTTCACACTAGCCTCTATGTGATTATCTGAACTGTGCAGCTTGCTGGTAAATGCAAATGTTTTAACATTGCGCTGACCAGCAATGAGAAATCACAATAAAATGTTTCCCTTTGATACTCATTGGTATCTGCTGAGTTTTAAAGCAGTTGTGTCATAGCCAAAAGTATGCAGACAGGCTTTTCTGGTTAAAAGAATGTAGATAAATACAGGCGACTGCAGGGTGCTGGGGTGTCTGGTGTGAATTTCTCTTTTTTTTTTTTTTTTCCCAAGTTTTCCTGAGAATTTGAGTTTCGTCTCCTGAAAAGGCAAG